GCCATTACGTAGACAAAGCTTCAGGCCGCACACAGTATGACCAGAATGAAAAGAATGCAGATGGAAAACACTCATAATCCAGGCGGTTGCCCTTTTAGGAGATGGTTCTTCCGAAACAATAATGTAATAGTAATTAAAATTTCTGGATTGGATCTATAGGGGTAGGTGTGAGAAGCAAGATGGAAGTGAGGAATGGTAAAACATGTTTCAGAAAGACCCTCCCGTACAACATTATGTTGAAGAAAAACTTATATTTCCAATAAAACATTGGAAATGATACTCTAGGGGTGAATCTTTGGCTTTTAGGGGATGCAAGTCCCGTATCAGGAGCTCTAAGTCAAAAGATTCCAAACACTCAGATTAATAGCATTGTACCCTTTACACAGGGTTGATATGCACCCTCCTGCATTGTGAGAACATTTCTATCATGAACAAGATACGTCTTTAAGTCTATTTTAGGGTAAAATAAACGATACCCTTATATTTTGACACATTGGTTCTTGATTTGAATAGCTTTAAGTACAGTATTGCATGATAACTGAAATATGAGCACTCCGAAGTGTGATTTAGAAGTTACTACCAAGATTGAAGAATATAATGGCTATGCATTGAAAAACATGGCCTAGTTCATCTTTTCTTACCCCTTGACAAAGAGGGTCCTATGGCTATTTTAATGTCAAAATTAAAATAAATACTTATTTGTAACCATTATTATATCAACTTCTGGTTTCATCCTATTTTAACTCAAATAGTTATAATTGGTTTTTACATTTTGTTTTTAATGAAGCTTAGTTAAAAGGGTAACACTGAAAAACTGTAGGAAGACAATGATTGCTGCTGACAGAGGCAAGGTGATTTATCAAGATGTGAAAAGGAGGGTGTGACTAGGAGTCCTGACAGTAGTTTTTCACATTACGCAATGTGATAAAGATTTTACAGCTGTTTTAACCAAGGTGCACTCTAATAGCGGGGGGTCATCTAAAACAAAAGGCATGTGGGAATGGTGGGGGCATATTCACTCCTTCAAAGGGTCCAAAACCTAACCTGCCTCCCGTGTTACAGACAGATGCTAACGGAACAGACTGCTGTGGAAGAGGTTGCTTTTCAGGAGAGTCGTTTTATCCCTGAAAATCACGATGGATTTTGCTGACTTGGCTTGGTAGGCCAGTTGCCAAGTCCCTGCTTCCTTCTAGATGAGCCCCTCAGTGTGGCCAAAAAAAAAAAAAAAGCAAGGTCAAAAGAAACCAAGTGTAGTAGAAGGATAGGCTTGCCATTTGGCATTCCTCCTGCTTTGGGGCAAGCCCCTTAGTGCCCCAGGGCCCGGAACATTCAGTGCTACCCTCATTCAGGTGATGGCACTCAACCTCTCCCACGCGTGTGGTCCCCAATATTGTGCAAGGGTGTAGGCCAGGTCCTGACTCACAGGGTAGAGGTGGTTTGTATCCTGTGAGTCACCCGCACCACTTCCTGCTGGCACATGAGAGATCTCACTGAGACACAGTCTCTGAGAGGTGAAGGCAGAGAGATGGATAGGCGAGCTTCAGGACCCTAAAATCCATCTGGAAATTTGACAGGAAAAAAATGGCCTCTAAAGGGATCTTGATCTTCATAGTAGTATTGGAATAGAAGTTTCACCAGCCAATTTTGAGTTTACAAATCATTTACCCCATGTCACCTTGTGCAGAATTCTTTGTGTCTTAGCTACCTGTGTGAATTTGCCACTAGGTCTGTCTTCTGACACACCGGCACTATTCCAAGTCTTTAGTATCATAGCAAATTATTTTTCTTAGCAGGACCCATGGTCAAAGATCCAAACTCAAGTATAATACTTGCAGTTGAATCTTAGAGAGATCATTATGTCTAAATAACACTAAAGTCGTGAAAAAAACTGAAAGATTAAAGAAAGATGTGGATATGACTTTAGCATCTATTCCTTCCCTGTATGACTTTAAAGCAGTGAGTAGAGGTTCTTGAGGGTGACAGGGCAGCAGACATCAGACTCCCCCACGGTGGGGTTTCTCAGTTTCTGATCACCGCCGCCGATTCGTGTGCCCCAGTCCAAGGGCTGGGGCAGAGGTGAGGCGGAGGGAGGCTTGTGCAGGTGGACACATGGTTGAGATCCAGTTTTGCTCTCTTGTTGGTTACATACATCCACGATGGAACTGGAGTCTGAGCACTTTCTTTTGAGAGCAGCACTTAAAATTATTTACAACTTCATCTGTAAAATACCCGGATGTTGGATTAATACAGTGAGTCTCACAGAAACCATCCTGAGCGATGGACTATGTCCAAGGGAGTGTCGCAGGTTAGGAGAGCCCGGTTTTTGTGGAGGCACGCCCTGCGCTGAACATTCTTTAATTCACAAAGACAAATATTTCACCCGTGGCCTGACCAACTGGAACAAAGTTTCCAACAGTGGAAAAACTAACAACTGCTAAAATCCTTAAAAAAAAAAAAAGACTGAGAAGCAACACCCCAAAACAATTACCTGGATTCCAAATAGCCACAGGTGGCAGCTAGAAGCAGTTCTGAACAGGAGAGGCTAGTTTCTGATTTCTGCAAAAGATGAAATGAGCTTCAAATGTGCATTTGCACAGTGGACCTGGCTGGCCCTTTCTTGGTGGGAGAATTGGTAATGTTGCCTCCAAAAGGCCCCTCGGGTGAAGAAACATGAAGGGATAGCAGGGTCAAAGACGTAAGGACACTTGTCTAGAACTCCAGTTTGTGTTGAGCAGACTGTATAACCTAAAGGGTTTAATTCTTCAGTCATCAAAGTGCATGGAAAAATTATACAGAGAAGTAGAACAGAATTGACTTGGGTGAGATTCTACTTCATTCTCCATGAAAAACGATGCGGACAAAGTAATCTTTTTTTCATCTCTGTTCCACTGACAACAAAATCCAAACTTTAGCCTTTTTTAAAAAATTTATTTAAGAAAGATGATTTTTTTTCTATAAGAGTAATTGAAGTAGCATTTATATTGTTGTAGAAATACAGAAGGGGGAGGAGCTAGTTCTAAACTTCAAAAGTCATTTTAAAATCATTGAAAGATTCTGAGATTTGATGACAAAAGGTTTGTTATCTTCCATGGTCACTGGGTAATTGGTCTTAGACAACATTTAAATTAACTGCACTGAGGTTGTTTGAGGCTAATAACCACTTCACAGGATTGTTACAAGTGTCAAGTTTGAAACATGAAATTACAAACTATGATGCTGATGCGAAGAATATGCAATTTGCTTAACGAATACACGCCTCCTCTGAGAAAAATAAAATAAAGTCATTTGTTACATGGGTTAAATCATCATTTAAAATGCCAATTTGCAGAGATGTATAATCTTGGTACAGACCAGGAGAGGGCACTACCCATGTATACTGCTAACACTGGAGGCTCGATGTTGAGTGTCAGGGGCCGTTTGGGGGATCTCAATGGCATTTCAGAAAAATATCATTTCCTTCAGTTCTCCCAGAAGCTCTAAGGGAGGGAAATAACTCACATAGCTCAAGTTTTCTCCCAGGATTGCCTTTTCCTCATACTTCGTTGCCTCCCCTTGGGGTTAAATCATCTGCTTCAATGACATTTGCACAGGCCCGTGCCCTGTGGTATCTGTCACACTGAGGCATGTGGTCTGCTCCCAAATTCTGGAAGTGGCTCGTTCACAACAACACCAGGTGCCCCTAGGAAAGCCGCTTGAACTCTTTATGTTTCCGTTTTCTCATGTGTCTAGTAGCAACGATAGTGTCTTCCTCCTAGAGAGAGAAGGGGGGAGTGCGGTAATGTGGACCAGGCAGAGGGAGCCGTGCCTGCAGGCGGCAGGTGTTCCAGACGGGCCACCGCTGCCAGTGGCTCTGCTGCCACCGAGATTTCTATTTCTATTTCGATAACAGCTATTCCTATAGAATGGAAAGAGCGGCTGAAGTACAAATACCTGGCTGAGATTAAACTCTCTTCAGTAAATATCTATGCAGTTAAAAGCATTGATCCGATGCTTTCTACGCAGTTAAGAAACTACTTGAGTCACGTGCTGCCGGTTTTCCAATATTTGTCTTTTCACTGGCGACACGGGATGAAAGGCCGCGCTCGATGCCCCCCGGGCTGGCAGAAACTGCGCTCTCGGGCTCCGTGTCTGCGTGTTCATTCCGTGTTAGATAAGATATATTTAGACTTTGCTTAGATTACATTTTACAATGCAAGGAGTAATTCGGAATTTAGGCACTTAATTCAACCACAATGTGTCTTAGGGTGAGAGTCCTGTATAGTTGTTACCGTAAGTAGAACCTAATTCTTATTCGAAGCCTTCTTTTGTGATAGGTTCTCCCTTGGAGCATTGCTTCGAGCATAACATGGAATAAAACACTGGAAATGCTACAATTTTTGAATTTCTAAGCTTCTTTGGATATCAAACTTCAAAATCAGGTCTTTGAAAAGGTTCCTGTGAAACATTTAAAGCAGGTTAAATCTATAACTTGCTAGTGTAATGCGAAGGCTTTGACCCTTGGACCTAAGAGCTGGGGGTTCATTTTCAATTACATGCTTGTTTCCATGAATTATTTTCTTTTATGGTGTCCATGCATCCAATTCTTGAAATAATTAAAACAACTCTATGAATATTGCATTTATGTGGAAATCTGACCAAGCTTTCTTTCCCTGAAGCATTAATCACATATTTGATTTTTTCCATAAACAGGTTTTCATCTCTTACAAGCAGTTCTCGGCACCACTGTGATTCCTTCATGCATCCCAGGAGAGTCTGACGACAACTGCACAGCTTTAGGTAAACCCAGCTCTGTCCGGAGGGCTTCAAGGGATCACACATTGTTAACAGAAATGTAAACGCAAAGACTATAAATACAGGGCAGTGGGGAAAAAGCAGGGGGGGATAGCTACTGTGTCAACAAAAGAATTTTTAACCCCCTTATGACCTAGCGACCTGGAACACATATATAAAGAAGTAACTGGGGGCAGAGGGACTGTGCACCTAGTCATATGGAGAAATTTGGTCTTAGGTAAGAAACAAGAAAGCCAGATCCCCTGACGCTTTGCTGGGAAACCATCGTTACAGGCTGGATCCCAGGCAAAGCAGGAAATTGAAGCTTTGTACACGGGAGATAGTCAGTGTATTTTTGTTGTTATTTTTGTAAGAGGAACAAGGGATGTCCTGTCTTTTTAGCCGCAGCGTTCGTTTAGAAACATTTATGGGGTACTTTACTACATGCCACATGTGGTGTTCAGGCAAAGAAAAACGAAGATGAGGCATGCACAGTCTTTCTCCCTCGACGACCCCGGAGGACTCTGGCTGTGGGTTCAACAGAGGCCTGCTTTATATTTAGTCAAGAGCTGTTGAGTCGTGGAGTCAAGGGTTATCCGGAGCTATTGAGACAAGGGTCATTTATGCCGAGGAACCAAGCTATTTTCCAAAACAACTTCACCATGTTTCTTGTCTGCCTTCATCACTGGGCTCTCTAGAGGTTTAGTCTGCCTCCCTGGCCCTGTTTTTGGTCATTTGAACTATTGCAATCAAGATGCTATTTTAAAAAATAATTTCATAAGCATTCTTCACACTTTAGTAACTGAAACATTCTAAAGTGAATTTTGCATGTAAGTTGCAACGCTATTTCTAACAAGGTTCCTATTTTCACTGTTGCATTTTTGCCTAACTGAGGCCTTTGTAACTCAGGGTTTACCCAGTTCATGTTTGGGTCTCATTGTTAGAGACATAGGGAGGCTTGATTTCTTTGATGGTAACCTCAAAAATTCTGGAATGCACATCAAAATAAGACTTACTAGCTTAAAAGCCACTATAGAATTAAGATCTTTTTAATTAATGTATTAAGCTTACAATTACTTTGGAATAATGAATTTCAGAATTATTTTGAGATTTGAAAAAAAAAAAATAGGCAAAATTTGGCTTAGTGAATAACTGTGGAGGGTAATGATTTTGTGTGTGTGTATGTTTGTGTGTATGCCCTAAACTTACCTTTTCTACTTTTAAGTGTTGTCTTTTGAGAATTAAATCCCCAGGTTTGTCTGGCTTAGTCTGTTGGACACTTTCTTTTGGGCTCAGGTGTTTGTCTATTGTTTAGGGAGTGTGATAACTAGAGTGACTTTGTACTCCTGCAAATTCTTCTCTACTGATCAGTACCTGACCTGCTTTGTTACAATAGATCAGTGGTTACTATTATGAAAGAATGATTAATGTTTCAAAGAAGGTAACAGAATATATTCAACTTTCCATTTTCTTCACAGTTCAGACAGAGAACTATCCACGTGTGGCTCAAACAGCAATAACGCAGTGTAACTCTGACATGAATGGCTACTGTTTGCATGGAGAGTGCATCTTCCTGGTGGACATGAATGAAGAATACTGCAAGTAATGTCCCCAAAAGAACAAACAACAAGTTTTTTTAAACCTGTATTTCTTTATTGTTTGAAGGTACTCTCTATTTCCACAGGGAGCAGTTTATATGTACTATGAGCATACAGTTTATATGTACTATTAAAAACTTTATTAAGTGAGTGTTTTAAAATTAGGCAGCAAATAGTAGCTATCATATTGTACAGATACTTCAGGGATACAGATTGGGGAGGGCTTCAGATGCTTCCCTCTCACTCCTGCCACACAAGCAGCTCAAATTTTAATCTTTTTACTGCTCTTACATATATCAGCCACTGTTTTAGGAGCTGATTCCACTGATACAGACAAAAAGCACTTCAAACCTAAAAATCGAATGAAACGCTATTCTAGACTGGCAGCACCCCGGCAGCTAAACGGGACTGGCGTTTTCACACCCCACTTTCACCTGAGAGCAGGTGGAGCTCTTCGTATCACTGTTGGCCTAGTTCCAGGCCAGCCTTTGAATTCATCTTTACAACTTTCGGCAACCCTTGTTGATTTCGTGCATTATAGTGTGAGATTAGTTCTTACAAAACTAAGTTGTAACCGTGATTTTAAAAAATTAATTGGTCTTTCTCTTGCATTTTCCTTTAGGTGTGAGTTGGGCTACGCCGGTGTCCGATGTGAGCACTTCTACTTAACGGTCCAACAACCCTTGAGCAAAGAGTACGTGGCTCTGACCGTGATCCTCGCTCTCTTAGTCGTTCTCCTATGTGCGGGTTCCGTCTACTACTTCTGGAGATGGTAAGCCAGCGGATTTTTTACACTCTTTCTAGAAATTACTTTTATACAGTACAGATTTTAAACTGGGTAAAAATATGGACAAAGCATTCTTTAGAGGGATAACATAGACTCTGCACTGATTTTATTTATAAAGAAGGTTTAGTGTCAGGGCATCTGGATCTGACTATGTTATCGGCTCTGTTACTTATTACCTACGTGACCTTACGCAGGTCAGACTTGGGAGTATCAGTTCTTTATAAAATACAGATAGAAATCCTTATCCTACATTAATTACAGGATTAAATATGATAACATGTGAAAGTGAGCCATCGCCGTGATGCCAGTGTTACAGTTGGTGACTTGTATTCAATTTATTGGGTCAAGCTTTGTATTTGGTAAAGCACAGCCTTGTAAATGAATGACCCCAGAAATGTAAGGATCTTAGAATGTCAGGCAGACTAATAGGAAGGAGCTTCCAGACAATCATAAAAGCCTACTTTAAAAAAATAGTTCAGGTCAGTCCCCCAAACAGCCGCACGCGTCCTCAGGCACGATGGCATACCTTCAGGCGCAGGACCAGGCCGTGGGGCCGTGTGAATTAGCTCATAAAACCTGCTTGTAAAATGTCCCCATGAAATTCTTCTTACTTTGGACCTGTTACAAATTGTTGGGTATACATCTGAATGATTTTTTCCTGAAAGTAGCGCACTTCTACTCCTGAAGGTCTGGAAGCGTGCTCCTTTCGTGAGGCTGAATTTATTTTGCCCGTTTGATCTTAAGCACTCATCCACATTAGCAATGCCTCCCTAGTCGTGGTCTCAGAGCTGGGTGGGACTGAACCCGAGGGACACCCGCGAGGCCTGCGGTCCCTCATCCAGGAGGGACGCGCGGCCGGGCGCGCACACGGACACGCCCCTCGCGGCGGACGAGCGCGGAGCCGGCGCGCAAGGGCTTCGGAGGTGCCTCCT